GCAGTTTTGCGGGAAAACCAAACTGTACTTTTCATAATAAATAAAGTAAAATATTGTTCGACAGTAAATCTGTCGATACCAATGACATTGTTAATTCCAATTTCAAGTTGCGGATTTATCACTTGCTTGGCGGTGGTGGAGAAAAACACCGTAAGATAACCTGCATGTTGGAAAAAAACCTCAACGACTTATGAAGTCCAATAACACGCATTAGGATAGCGAGTCAGGCTCTGCCTTTTTAAATAGAATAAAGTTGACAAACGAACACATATTCCACTTAATGGTAAGTGGATGCTGTGGCTCATAGATACCTGCACCTATCCTCTTTTTTATAAAAAAGGAGTGCTCTATACTTACGATATGAAACACACCAGCATTTAGCTGCTATTTTACACTTGTATTCTGTGATAGCGTGGTCCTTCTCCGCTCGAGCCGACCCATTCGCGTTCAAGTTTTCATAAACTCTAATTTATTATCACATTACTCATAGATCTACTAGAATATTAACATAATGTACCTTTTACTTTAAAAGCTTGACAATTGTTTTTGGAGCACGCTAAAATATTTTTCGTAGTTGCGACAAAGATACGGAAGTATTTTTATATTTGAAAACTGTTCTGTAGATACAGCAATAAAATAAGATTTAATTGCATCCGTATTCGATAACGTCACTGTCAAACTATTGAATCCAATTCAGCCGAGACGGTTAAATAGATCAACTACTACTACTACTTCGACTACCGAAGAAAAATTTTATGTTTTTTGATTCTAAGGATAGTCAGGTTCTACTTAAGTTTCAATTTCAGTGCTCATATTATATTTATTTAACTTTAAAATGACATATGATTAATAAGCCAAAAATTATCGTCGAAGTATCGTTTGAATATGTACGTACATTAATTAAATATAAAACAAACGTATTCCGATCTCCGGCGGCATTATGACTCGGATGTAGGCCTTTCCGGAAATGCGTCAAATGACATACTTCTGATGGATTTGCTTTTAGTCCGTTCAAAATCGACGTTCAAGTTTACAATCATTTGCATAAAGCTGATAATGGTTTTGAATGTTGGAAAACTCATTATAACTGAAATGTGAAAGGTCCCCATCGATTCCACATCTGCAAAAAAATTTATTCATGGTCAAAGTTCGCAAGAAATAGATCTTTTGTAAAAATACTCATAACAAAAAGTTAATGCAATTAGCTTGTCTTCAACCAGTCTCTGATTCTGCTTAGATGAGCAGAATCAGAGACTGACCATGAACCTATTAAATTGTTTCTTCTAGTTACTAGGGAGAGTGAGTACGTACTCTTTGACATAGTACTCCATTTATTATAAAAAAATCCTTTCTGGTGACTTTACTAACGATTATATTACTATAAGGTCGAGTATTTCTGATACAAGCATAGGTGCTGATATTGCCATCAGCAATCAAATGTGAATAAATGAAGTCCGTAATGTAACAGACTTTTTACGTAAATTTCTTAACTAGATATGATAAGATATTTGTTGGGTATAATGTGCTAAGTTGTTAATTATTATAGTATGTGTTAAATAGTTTTATTATATGTTTTTTAAATGAGTATGTTTTTATTTTAGTGTAAATATATCATATATTTCATGGAGCGTAGTATGCTAAAAATAAGAAAAATATATAAAGTACGTCATACAAAAATAAGAAATATCACAAATGCTATTGATGCTCTGAGTTATGCTCAAAAGTTAAAATTTCGATGGGCCGGCCATGTAGCACGTCTAGAAGATAAGAGGTGGACTTCCATCGTAACCATATGGGATGGCCCTCCAGGAAAAAGACGTCCAGGCAGATCATACATGCGCTGGGAAGATGACATTGAAAAGATCGCGGGACCACGTTGGACACAAATAGCAAAAAATAGAGACAAATGGAAATCTTTGGAGAAGGCCTTCACCTAAGGGGGGTGCAAAGCAAACAAACACAAATGAGTATATAGATCCTTAATAAATTATAAAATTAAAATATTTTGTCAGTTTGCAACTAAATTTAAATTAATGTTATCCTATTCATAATGTTATAAAAAACCAAATCCATTAAAATAGTCACTTAAAATTTATAAATCAATTACATAGATTGAAAATATTAATGTTATTAGTAATGCACATTTAAATTTTAACCAAATATGATGAAAAATAGTTATCATAGCCAAAATTATGACATTAATTATTACCTCAATCAAATTCATTCATTAATATAGAAATAAATTAATGTATAGAATTAAATTAAAATTAAATTAAATAAATATATTAAAATCTAAAAAAATAATAAATTAATGCATGAAAATCTACAAAAAAGATTGATATTATATATATTAATGTATTTAAAAAAAAACTAAATTTATATTTTCAATTTCCTTTAAAAAATGCAAATTACATTGTAAAAAAGTTATATTGTAAAACTTATTTAGCATGGAATAAAAGGCTTTTTTATTTTTTTTTATTTTTTTTTTATTTTTATTTTATTTATATCATATATTTAAATATTTTAATGTTCATTATTTGTTAGTTTTGTGTAAGTTGTATAATATCGTATACCTTTAACTATTTTTTGAGCGAATATGGACCTATGATATGATATGGATATTGTAGTATATAGTTTGGTGCGAATATATGTTTTTATTTACAAATAGTCCATTGTTTCATTATGTTGATGCTCTATATTTTAATGATTTAATTTTTTATCATTTATTTTTTGATGGACTTAGATTCTTTTATATTTTAGGCAGTTTATTATAAAGTTTTGCACCCTCATACAATACGTTTCTTTTACTGTAATTTGTGTGTGGAATGTATATGCTAATATCACTTGCACTTCTAAGCATATGATCATGCAATTGTTGTCTTTAGTAAATGTTATTTGGGTGCACACATTCTTGTGTAATATTTTACTTACAAGCAAGCAAGTAAAATATGTATGAGTCTGTTTCATTCATCATCATCATCATTACAGCCCTTCACAAGTTCACTGCTGAACATAGGCCTCCCCCAAGTAATGCCACAAAGCACGGTCCTGAGCCACCTGCATCCATCGACTTCCTGCTTATCTTACCAGGTCATCACTCCATCTAGTGGGGGGTCGACCTACACTACGTCTACCGGTACGAACCTTTCTTCCCCATCGGTTATCGGTTCTTCGAGCTATATGGCCGGCCCATTGCCACTTCAGCTTACTAATCCGTTGGGCTATGTCGGTCACTCTGGTTTTACTGCGGATATCCTCATTTCTGAGTCTATCACGCAGAGAAACTCCGAACATAGCTCTCTCCATAGCTCGCTGAGCGACCTTGAGCGTCCTCATACGGCCAGCAGTGAAGGACCACGTCTCAGATCCGTAAGTTATCACTGGCAACACGCACTGGTTGTACAATCTAGTTTTTAGAGATTGAGGTATACCTGACGAGAAGATATGTCGTAATTTCCCGAACGCTGTCTAGCCGAGTTGAATCCGTCGATTGACCTCTCGGTCGAAGTTGGACTTACCTAGTCGGACTATTTGTCCCAGGTAAACGTACTCGTCAACAACTTCGAGTATAGTGCTCCCAACAACTACCGGCATAGGTGTGAAATGGACATTAAACATGATCTTTGTTTTGTCCATGTTCATCTTAAGACCTATCCGTTGGGAGGCACTATTGAGATCATTGAGCATAGTGCTTAAGTCCTCCAGCGATTCTGACATAAGGACTATGTCGTCGGCAAATCGAAGGTGAGTGATGTACTTGCCATTGATGTTAATACCGTATCCTTTCCAGTCCTGTAGCTTGAAAAAATCTTCCAATGCAGCGGTGAAGAGTTTCGGGGATATAACGCCACCCTGTCTTACACCTCTCTGCAGTTGGATAGGTTTCGAGCTCTGGTTCTGTACTCGGATAGCCATCGTAGCGCTACTGTACAAACGCTTCAGCACTTCAATATACCGATAGTCAACTTGGCACCGCTGAAGGGACTGTAGTACCGCCCAAATTTCGACGGAATCAAAGGCTTTCTCATAGTCCACATACGCCAGGCAAAGTGGCAGATTGTACTCTTCGGTCTTCTGTACAATCTGCCGCAGGGTATGTATGTGGTCTATGGTACTGAAGCTTTTTCGGAAACCGGCTTGTTCGGGAGGCTGGAAGTCGTCGAGTCTGTTTAATGTTCATAATTTTAGTTTCGTCATATAATTTTTTTTTGGTATTAGAAATCATAATTAAATAATACTTTTATTAATTTGTTTTGCGCAATTTGAAGGGCTGCTAAGTTAGTTTTCGTTGCTGAGTCCCAAACTTCAATCAGATAATCTATGGATGGCTTTACCGGAGTATTATATACTGTATATCGCACTTGACGTTGTAAGACCTTAACAAAGCTACGAATGGTCCCAGTGTGATTTCTATGTCAGTTGATCCAACAACAAACCAAGATAATTTTTTTGTCTATTCTTTATATGAGTTGGTCATTAAAAGTTAATGGTGGACAGCTAGTGATTTTTTTTTGTTTTTAGCTAAGAATATTATTATATACGTTATATGTATTTTTATGGTGAGAAGTTTCGATTGGAACCAAATTATATATATATTGGGCTTCTACTCCGTTCATATGTTACACCCTATTTTTTCCAGACGGTAAAAAAGGTCACTAAGTATAGCTGGATTATATTATATTACGATTTTAATGATTACAGAAGCGGGTTAGACTTATTTTTTATATTCCGATGCCAGTGCCATCAACGGTGTATTATGAATGGAATATGAAAAGTGCAAGGAATAAAAGGATATAATATGGTAGTATCATCTCGTAAATGTCGGACGCAAAATTCTCCAAGTCTTGAGTCAAATTCGCGAGACTTGGGCAGTCAAGCTTGTCGTATCTAAGAAACCCTGAGGAAAAAAAGGCATTCTAGTATAAAAATCAAAGTTGTTCTATTATAAAACGCAAATGTGTATTTCATATTAAAACAATGTTTTTTACTATCTCGCGCAGGAGAAGAATTCATTCCTGAACTACAACGTCTCCTGCATTTTGACTCTGCCTCCGTACCAGAGGCAGGGCTACGGAAGGCTGCTCATCGACTTCAGTGAGTATCTGTTAGGTTCTTTTGCATGATTTGCTTTTTGTATGAGCACATAGTACGGGTCACGCTGTGACCCATGGATAACCATATCTTTCCTCGTTTTAGAATCGGAATCCAAAGTCGTTGTTACCTTTGAGAAAGAATGAGTTAATTATAATATTACATCTAAATGTGATAGTACTTGATTAAGGTTCTTCCCCTATTCGAAATTAATTGTAAATAACTGTTCTTTGCGCGAAAAGGTTGTCTGGAAAAAATCGCTTCCAGTGCGATAAAACCACCTATTGTACCTTCTATATAATAATTATTTCATATAATTTTAATTATAATGTGTATTGGTATACAATAAGGAGTAAAAGCCTATATACGTTCCACTGCTGGGCACAGGCCTCCCCTCGTTTCTGAGAGGGTTTTAGGGCAAGGAAGTGTCTGCTGCGCTGTCCCAATGCGTATTGGCGAACCCGAGCAACCGTCGAGCACGTGGTAAATCATCACTTAAAATTGCAATTAACAATTTCATAGATGCCGGCGGGGCTCGAACCCGGGTTGCTCGCGTACTGTGAAATTTACACCAAGCGTTAAGCCCCTGAGCAACCACGACATATAATAAAGAATATATTGATTGATTGATTGATTAAATAATAAAGTTACTAGTTTAATACGTAAAACGTGTTAGAGTCATGCTACTAGCAGCTATATTATGTTTGTAGCACGAAGGGATCGGTTCAACCGGGGACGAACCACGCTTTCACAGGATACCAGCGTAATGCTTTTGTGTTTCGTATAGTGAGTGTAGAGAATCAGAGACCCTTTTCACTTGAAATGAGGCATTCCATCTTACCATTTGGTTAAATGTGTGTTCTTTATTCTATAAACAATGTAAGTCTAAGGTTTAAATTAATTATCCAAATTATAAACCAATTGTTAACTAGGGTAAAGTGAATCCGATACTTTAAACGAGCAATTCTTGTATTACGCTTGTAAATGGTTTCTCAGATTCAGCTTAAACGATTTGGATGAAATTTTATACTTAGATAATGTTTTGCTTTCAAAGTTAAATTTACATAGGTTATATCTAAGATTTGTTTTTCTTTTTGATGCACGGTAGACCATGCAGCTATATATATATAAAAATATATATATATATATATATATATATATATATATATATATATATTAGTGGTATAGTTGGAGCACGAATTCAGCGACTCGACCGGGGAAGAACCACGTTGTCCCAGAATACCAGAGTAAAATAGTAGCTTAACACTGTTGTGTTAACCGGAGACCCCTTCCACTTGAAACGAGGCATTCCATCTTAGTCCTCACGGGTGAAAACGCTTCTGCATTTTGATTCTTAATCCAAGATAGATGCAATGTCTTTGGGCCACCTATAAAAAATGCCGAGCTAAGTTCGTTCTCCTAGGTATTAAGACACGACTAATTGTTAACAAAATGGTTGGTATTACCCTTTTACTAATATTTGTCAGATCGGCACATTCGCTGCGCAACAATTTTTCTAGCATTTCTAATTTCGTTGTAATTTAGTTGTGGTCAAATGAGAAAGAATCAAATCAAACCAAAATCAAATTGCCCAATTCAACTGCCCGGCTGTGCAGGCTAACGCCGACCCCCGGTGGTCACATCATTGGTATTCTAGCACATGACTATACAATTACTCCTTGCTTCTTCATCAAGAAACTGCATGTGATCGAAATATTTTATTCCTCCTTATAAATTGAATTTATATGATGTAACTAGCGACCCGTTCCGACTTACGACGGATATATTAATGTGGCGTCATTTCGATTTGGTATAATCATCAAAGAGCATTTTTTTCATCTCGTCAAGTTTTTTTTAATCGATGCTATAGGATTAAATATTTCTTATTATTAATATTTTTCGTCAACATACGTGTCAATTTTATAAGAGACAAATAAAAAATTGTAACATTCTTGAAAAAAATCTATTTAATATAAGAGCTTGTTTTTAAATATTTAAATCTATATTTAAAAACAAGCTATTATAAGAAGTGTTGCTAGGGTAAGCGTCCACGTCAATTATCATGTCAGCTGCAGTAGACATTCCGTTCATTAACATATAATTGCGTCATCATCGAAGTTACATGAGTACTATGCCAAATCTGATCTCATTCGGATGCACTCACAGCAAGTGCTTCAAAAATTGAATACAAATTTTAGACCTAAAAAACTTACGAAGATCTTCTTATCTTCTCTTCGTATCTTATTAGCTCATAACATCCCACTGCTGGGCAGTAGCCTCCCTAACCCTTTCCACTTTTCACGGTTCTGTGCTATGGAGGACCAGTATTCCATGAAGGAGTTCCAGTTCATGCCGCCATCGTTTTCTGGGTCTGCCCCGGGGTCGTATGCCGTTTATAGGAGTCCACCGAGATGTAATTTTGGCCCAAAGTTTTTCTAACATACGTACGTACGAAGAAAGAAAGTTAAATAAAATCTTGTAATAATATTGGTTTCTGAATTGCTGATTAATTTTTTTTCAAAAAGACTGTAATTAAGGCAGTAAAAATAAAAAATAACTGCGCGTTTTAAAGATCGTCTATCAAATTTTACTTTAAGACTACGCGTGTGCAAGATGTTGGTTTAGGATTATTGTCTAGACTAGACATTCCGCTCCTGCACAACAAACCCACCCCCGCCTCCCTGAGGGCGGTAAAGTCTTACCTTACGACGTCTACTTTTTTGCTTATATTAAACTAAGTCTGCGATGTCTAAGAGCAGAAATATTTCCTAGCAGATTATTGGAGCCGCGGGTAGCGCGGAGGCTTGGCGCTTGTTGTACCTATGTATACTCATTTACATCAAGCTCGTTTTATAAAACTCGCGTAAGCCAACACTGAAAAAAAAATGTTGTTTTAACACGTCCTTGGCAATGAAAAAAAAATATCGTGAGAAAGTCTGCATATCCTTGCCTCCTCAAATTCGCCCAGAAATTTGCGGAGACGCCTAGATGTAGGACGTATGCTGTAATCCCATTTTTATCAATTTTATTTTAATTTATTTAAAAATATCTTTATCTATACATCTATATAAAATTAAAATGTCTGTCTGTATCTGTATTAAAATAACTGGCTTCTATTAGGCGGCTCTACACGTTGGCCAACATAGTGGCGAATGTTGTGGCCAATAGCAATGGCCATCGTGTAGAGCGGGTGTTTGTGCTTACTTTGGTATGTATTGGAATGATGACAAGTTGGCGCGAGATCCGTGTGTTGTCAGTTTTTTTTACAAAATATCAGAGGATTTTGGCAGAGTTTGGCCCGTGGTTTGGACGCCGCGTACATACGTTGGGCGCGCGTTTAGTTTGTTACGAGCTCCCGGGATGATTGCACGCACCTGATTTAAATTTTATACGCTTCGTAACAAGTGTCTACAAAATGGCAATAACAATGACCAATGAAGAAACTCTTCGCTTTATTAGAGCTCTACCAAGCTGAAAATTGTTTGTGCACCCAATAAATAAAAATCACAAAAATAAAAATTCTAATAAAAATAAATAAAAATAATAATTTCTCATACACATTCACGTAGTAGCGGTATGCTGTGAATAAATAAACCGCGGCAGCTGTTAGCGCCTCAATATCCATCTTAATAAATTCGTCCGCACATTGGCCTATACCGAAGCCAACTGAACGACCTTCCAACGTGCAACGTAACAACTCTTGGACAACGTGTAGAGCCGCCGTTAGGTTAAGGGGATTATTTTCATCTAGTAGTAAATTAACAACTATTTCTGTGACCTGGTGTTAAAAGTGCAATAGTACGTTATTATTAAACAGTACGGTACTGTACAGTAGCACATACTTTATTTTATTAAACAGTATGGAAGTACACATTACATTGGCCTTTTTATTTAGTGTCTTTTGAAATACTATCAATAACCGTACGCCCTTTTAGCATAAACGAATTTCATACTTTTTCAATAATATGGCTTTAAAATCTCATTTCTTAAAAAAAGGTTGGCACATATTTTATTTTATTAAACAGTATGGAAGTACACATTACATTGGCCTTTTTTATATAGTGTCTTTTGAAATACTATCAATAAACGTACGCCCTTTTAGCATAAACGAATTTCTTACTTTTTTAATAATATGGCTTTAAAATCTCATTTCTTATAAAAGGTACTTTAGACCTTTTAGCACCAGGTCACAGATTTTTTTGTCCGTCTGTCTGTTTATCCGGGCTGATGTTCGGAATTTAGAATTGCTGAAGCGTTTGTGATGAAACTTTTCTAATAAATGGAAAGCAATGCCAGGAGGGATCTAGAGGCTATATGTTATTCGAAAAACTTGGAGAATAAAAATCAAACTAAAAACCGATGTAATAAATGATCTTTAATTATCTGAAATCTACATAGCGCTACATTTAATAGATTCTATCCAGACGAAGATGATTTTAGCCATCATCATCATCGTTCTGATCTGTCAGTTGTTGTTTATAAGTCTGTTCAAATTGCGAGGGTTTCACATTACAACTTTTTACTAAGTATAGTTTATAAAATGAAATCACGATTGGCGCTAAAAGAATCTTACGCGAAACCGTGCTACGATTGTGTGCGTGCAACTGCCCGAGGAAAGTATAAGCCCCGATAATGTACTCGTAGGTGCGTCGCTTGTTAGAGTGAGCTTCTTATCTTAAGTTATTATAAATTCGAAGATAATGCAAGAACCGAACTATGTATATATATAACTCCAGGCCACACATTAAGCAAAAGAAAAGGAGCAACAAATAAACTAAAGATTTTGTAGTGCGTTGCTTACGCTGATACTTTTCTAGAAAGCTTCTTGCTGCAAAAAAGCTAATATTTTAATGCATAATGATGAACATAGTTTTCATAATTTTAATATATCAGTCTATTTTCGTTATGTTTAGCTTTCTTTGTTCATTGTCACTATATGGGTATAAAGCGCTGAAATAAATAGATAAATAAAAATTCATTAGGGGCTTGACAGGTTTACTAGA